AGCACATTTACTCTAGTCTGACGACGACACGGGGAACCGACGTCGAAAATTTACTCAATAAAGTTTTCTCCCTTTCCCAAAGAACGTTTTGATTTCAATTTATATTTCTTGGGATGCCTGCGTTCCAATTCATATATATATGTATATGAGAAGAAAAGGCGATCTCGGGAACCATTGTTTTACTGTCCTGACGTTTCAAAAGCATACAAGCTTCCATCGTCGGAGGTGAGTGTGATATCGCGCCTCACAGTATTTATAGGTGGGTGATAGTCATGTCAAAACGGGTTTTCTTACATATGAAGTAAGGGCGGCAGGGGGGAAGGGGCGGGGGGAGTCCTAGAGCGTCTTTTCGCCGGATGAGGGGGTGGTGGATCAGCTTTAGTGGTCATCAGCCGCATGCACACATGAACTTGGCGGGCGGGGGGTGGAGGGAGGGTGACGGAATGTACTCAATCTACATCAGAGGCCGGCGTTGAGACGTTGGTGGTCGTCGTTCGTACCCTCATTGAGCGTAGCTGTCGTCCAAGCCTGGCAATATTGCTTACGCCGCAACGACTGTCCGTTTTCTCTTCCGCCGGACTAGTAGATGGACCGGCTGTGGTGAGGACTGCGCCTTCGTCGGAACCCGGTTGAGGGGTGGCTGAGTGTGTATCCGCCATGGACTCGCTCATGTCTGGATTAATGTTTAGCCTGGGTGCACTTCTGCTCATTTGTTTACTGAGCGGCGCTCGAAGGGCTTGATAGGCAGCGGGAAGAGCCACACAGCGGTTGATGATGGAGGTTGTCCCCGTGTGCCAAGCCTCGATTATGTATATATATATATATATATATATATATATATATAATGACAGATGCGCGCTCACCGATCAGGTTACAGAACATGCTCGTTCTGTTGTGCCTTGGGACTCATACTTAAACCCTCGCAGGCAGTCGCACAGCGACTAGTAGTAGACATAGATGAGATGGAGCCGACAAAGACAAGGGAGACCGGAATGGCCATTTCTGGCTTATTAGCCGTCGTCAGCCAGCCAAACCCAAGCCCGAAGTGTGGAACACCCGAGCCTCGAATTCGCGACCTGTTGGCTTAGAAGTCCACGCCTCTACCCACCGGGCCACGAGCACGTCGCCCTGTCGGTTTTCGATCGGGAATATACAATGGTAGGGGGCGCTCACCGATCGTTCATACGGAACTCACTCGTTCCGTTGTGCCTTAAGGGCTCTCTCCGGAGCCCAGCCAGCAGCCGCACAGGTCGCGAGTTCGAGGCTCGGGTGTTGCACAATTTGGGCTTGGGTATGGCTGGCTGACGACGGCTAATCAGCCAGAAATGACCATTTCAGTCTCCCTTGTCTTTGTCGGTAATACCATTCTGCCTATATATATATATATATATATATATATATATATATATATATCAATCAGGCATGGGCGCACACCGATCTATTGGCTTCACAAAGCAAACAAGCTCCGTATGTGTGGCAAAGGTCACGATCAGGCAACCAATTACCAGGCCGAAGTCGGCCAAGTCATAATAGCAGCGAGGAGGGACGACAGAGAATGCGGGTAGATTGATACAGCACTGTTTCGGGCTTATTCTGCCTTCATTCAGCCAATCATAACCCTGACCACCAGCAGCTG